AAAAAAAAATGCTTTTAATTTTCTACATAAATGCAATCATCTGCATCTCTGCACCACTTTTCCCACCATGCGATTTGATTATCTTTTTAATTACAACACCGAAATAAAAAAAGGAGCTGGCCTAATTCCTCAACTTAATAAAAGATTAGATTTTGGGTGCTGTGGGAATCCGCTTCCCGGTAAAGTGTACACTGCTGTCTTGGCGTGTGTTGCTATCAACAGAGGGGAGAGAGGTGACAGGAACAATCACCATAAAAATTTCCCACAGGAACCGCTTGATCCTTTTAAGTCACGTACAACACAATGGAGGCTTGAAGTCGGGGAAGGAGAGAGATTTTAAGCCTCGGACGAGTGAGGGGTGTCGGGCTACGATGATGGAGGTTGCTGAGCAGGTCTCTGGTTGCACCTTTAGTGGTGCAGCACTTCACTGCCAGGCACATCATTATGGGTTGTGGCACTTGCTGTGGTTCTGAATCAGCTGTAAATATATACAGTGTATCCGGAAAGTATTCATAGCGCTTCACTTTTTCCACATTTTTTTTTTTTTTATGTTGCAACCTTATCTCAAAATGGATTAAATTAGTTTATTTCCTCAAAATTCTACACACAGTTCTAATAATGTTATTTTAGTACATTACGGTTGAACAATATATTGTTGGAGCATCAATATCACAATAGTCACATAGCAGGATTGTATTATTAAAGATTAAAAGACACTATTTACTCATTTTCTTTTTCGGCTTAGTCCCTTTATTAATCAGGGGTCGCCACAGCGGAATGAACAGCCATCTTTTTTAACCACAAGCACATGTTTTACACAGCAGATGCCCTTCCAGCCACAACCTAACACTGGGAAATTATATATATATATATATATATATATATATATATATATATCAATCTTATTTATATATTCATTTAATCTATTATAAATTTATCTAAATGCACTGTAAATTAATGAAATCTTCCCAAAACAAAAATATTCAATTATCTAATAAAAAATATATTTAAATATATTCTGGTCCCTAATTTAAATACGACTTGTGATCTGAAGACAAATGACATCAGTAAACAACAGCCAAAGTGCTCCAACAAAATTATTTATTAATATAACATAACCAGCAAAACGATCCAAAATGACAAGAGATGGGGAGCCCAACAACATAAACAATCAATCAAGCGAGATGCAAAAATTGAGTGCTATAAATGAAATAATAATTAGACAGGAGGAGTGTGTCCTGCGCGGAGCACACTCATGCATCACACCATTATGCGATGCATTGTGTGTATGCTTTACCAAAAAGAAAATATCTTTAATCTTCAACTGAAAGAATGTCTCTGCGCCTCGGACATTATCAGGAAGGCTATTTTAGGGTTTAGGAGCCATAAATGAGAAGGCTCGACCTCCTTTACTCGACTTTGCTATTCAAGGAACTACCAGAAGCCCTGAGTTTTGAGATCTAAAAGAGCAGGTTGGATTGTAGTGAGACAGAAGGTTGATTAGATAAACAGGAGCTAGATTATTTAAAGCTTTATAGGTAAGAAGCAATATTTTATAATCAATACGAAACTTAACAGGCAGCCAGTGTAAGGAGGATAAAATTGGGGCGATATCATATTTTCTAGACCTGATAAAAACTCTGGCAGCTGCATTTTGTACTAGCTGAAGTTTGTTAATAGAGGATGCTGAGCAAACAGCGAACAGAGGATTACAGTAATCCAGCCTAGAAGTCATAAAAGCATGAACTAAAATAACTCATTAAAATAACCCTGCAGAAAAAATCCAGCTTAAACCAGCCTAGGCTGGTTGGCTGGTTTTAGCTGGTTGACCAGCCTGGTTTTAGATGGGTTTTGGCCATTTTCAGGCTGGTTTCCAACCATTTCCAGCCTGGTCTTAGCTGGTCAGGCTGGAAAATGACCAGCCAAATCCAGCTAAAACCAGCTTGACCAGCCTGGTTTAAGCTGGATATAGCTGGTTTTGGCTGGACTCCCAGCTTGGCTAGGCTGGTCAAGCTGGTTTTAGCTGGTCATCTCCCAGCCTGACCAGTTAAGACCAGGCTGGAAATGGTTGGAAACCAGCCTGGAAGTGGCCAAAACCCCTCTAAAACCAGCCTGGTCGACCAGCTAAAACCAGCCAACCAGCCTAGGCTGGTTTAGGCTGGATTTTTCAGCAGGGTTGTAAATAATACATTATATAGTATAATACACAAAAAACACGGTATTTACTTTAAATTGCTAAATTGTTTTTTTTTTTTTTTTTTTTTTTGTGGGTCTTCTAGATCATTTATCACAGAAATAAATATAAAGAAAGGATCATTTCAAATATTTTACTTCTGAAAAGCAGCTAACAGAGAGCTAGCAGAAATAACTAAAATGCCAACAAGGATAGATTATTTAAAATAAAAAAAAGTTGCTTATTCGTGAGTTTAACCAGCATTCATATTTTCTGCATTATCTAAGTGCCTATTGTTTCCACCGCTAATTGAAAGATTGAAGAAATTAGATGAACGCATCTCCCAGTTTTCATCCATCACAGGAAGTAACGAGCACCATGGCAACTAATCAAACACGCCGATTCTTAGTTTAGCCACTGGCTTGCGGCCAATACTAGTCCCTGTTCTTGAAGATAATGACTCCTTGATGCAAGCAAACATCCATTCTCCGGTTTAATTAACCTTCAATATTACATGCACGCATGGTTCAGGCTTATCATAAGGTTGATACAATCACAAGTGCTCAGTCTCTTTCAGGCACTGGTTTATTTGAATATGCCAAGCCTGCCCTCAAGTGGCCTATAAAGGAACCAATGGTCTGAATCGATAAAATGATGAACAAATTAAAATATATACATTTCTTTTAAGATTGGTTAAATAAACATATGTTGCACCATTTGTAAATAACACATTCACACATTTTATGTGAGTTTTTTGTGCAGAACAACTAACTTCACTGATAATTATAGCCTAATGTCCTTCATTTTCATGAGTAGAGATTTTTAACAACACCTCTGTACCCCAAAGTGTCATAGATAACTGCTCATTAATTTGATATTTTGGTCAGCTTTCTGTTTAGCTAAAATTCTTAATATGGAAGCTGCATATGTAAAGGGGGAGTTCACGCAAAATTAGAATTCTGTCATCATTTACTCGCCCTTCATTTGTAGCAAACCTGTTTGAGTTTGTTTCTACTGGTGAACACACAAAATATATTTTAAAGAAAGCTGAAAGCCTGTAACCACTGACTTCCATGTATTTACTTTCAATTCAATTTTATTTGTATAGGGCTTTTTACAATCATATTGTTTCAAAAGTACATTTACAAAAGTAGCAGATTATTGCATTGCAATCAAATTAAGTTAAAGCTACAATCACATATAAGTTAATAAATACAGACATAGTTAACCTGTGATTTTAAAGTATGTATATAATGTTGATGTGTATATTTGCATTTTTTTTCAGTTTTCTTCAAAATATCTTTTTTTTTTCAGAAAAAATAAACCAACTGAAGGTGAGTAAATAGTGAGTAAATTTTCATTTTGGATTAAACGATCTCTTTAAAATAACTACCTAAATATATGATCAGTTAATTTGCTTTAAACACATATTTTCAAAACAAATATTTACATACATAATTCTTTAATTTTCTTTGCGGCTTAGTCCCTTAATTAATAATGGGTCGCCACAGCGGAATGAACCGCCAACTTATCCAGCATATGTTTTGCAAAATGGATGCCCTGCCAGCTGTAACCCATGGGAAACATCTATACACATTCATTCACACACATACAGACATGTCTTTGGACTTGTGAGGGAAACCGGGGCACCCGGAGGAAACCCACGCGAACACAGGGAGAACATGCAAACAAACTCCACACAGAAACACCAACTGACCCTGCCAAGGCTCAGACCAGCAGAAAGGTTGTGAGGTGAACATGCCCACTGCGCCACTGTGCAGCCCTAGATACATAATAGTAAACAAATAATTAGTTGACTCTCTGTTTTTGGGATAAACCACAAATTGTCTTTATTCTTTAAGTGTAGAAGGTTGCACACTTAAGATAACCAACTAATAATGACAGTTCAATAAATAATTAGTTTGTTTGTTCTGTTTTACCAATGGGGCTTTAAAAAAAATCAGTAGCCTATAGGGACTCCAGGCAACAACAACTTACTTAACAGTTTTTTTTTTTTTAAGTGATTCATTAAAATATTCACTACAGGGGTTTTCACTAACTATTTTGTAGAGTCTGTATGCTTGATTTTGAATAACCAATTAACCAAACATTTAGATAGCCTAATTTGTTAAAATTAGATTCCAGTTTGTTTAACACAATATAGTAAGTGATTGGAGACTGCACTTACAATACTGCATACTTTACTTGACTGAATGAATGAATGACTCACTAGGGCCTGATACTAACTAACTAACTAACTAACTAACTAACTAACTAACTAACTAACTAACTAAATAAATAAATAAATAAATAAATAAATAAACAAACAAAACATTTAGAAGATTCATCATCTCGTTTTCATCATCATTTCATCAAACCGCATGGTCTTTTCTTTAAAAAAATGTCAGTGAAAGGAAGCTACATGCTTTCAATAATCTGTTATCTAAATAATAAGTTAGACTACATAACCTGTAGCTGGTCATTTAAATGTATTTTTCATTACAACGAGTCAGTACATCAGTGAATATTATCAGTTAAGTTAAAAATAGACATAAATGGCAAAATCCTATTATTATTAGCTTGCATAGTCTTCATAATGCATTTAGGAGTTCAAATATTTTGATGAGTTAATTATGTTAATGTCTCAGTGTTCAGCGTATTTAATATTTTTAATAATTTAAAAGTTATATCAGTAAAAGGCACCCAGTATCATTTATATAAATTTTTAATAGTCTAAATAAACACGGATGTTGGTAAATAATGCACCAAAACGTTGGATGCCAACCGCTGTAAAAATTATAAGAAACACGGATGTAGGAACCTGTGTTTCCATAGATTTGTTTCCGGACGGTACATATCGGACAGTTACACTAGTCTTGTTTGTGGATTTAAGGAATGCTGTGAAATGTGAGTGGATATTTTTTAAATGTACTGCGTTATGATGTTCATATCTTGGGTTTTAGCTTAACACTCGGTTTGGGTTTTTGTCATTAGTGTATTAGAAGTGCGGGGGAAAACATACCTTTCGTTTTTGTCTCTTAGGAGGATGTTCTTTCTTACAATGCTTTGCTGTATGTTTTTACATATTGCTATTTTTGGTCGTCGGTAGAATTTAATTAATAGATTTTGACATCAATAGTAATACTCTATAAGAAATTTAGTGCTTTGCTCCGTTTTAAATGTCTTTCACGCCCATGTCACGCTGCATCTGAATTAAGACCATTATGAATGCTCAATTAATCCGTGTGTAACGTTGTCTTTAAGCGTATAACAGTAAAATAAAGGTCAAGAAATGTTTGTTCTGGATCTACTGTGATTTATATTTATTGTACCTGCTCTCTCCTAGATTGACACAACCAGTCTGTTGTTCTTATCCAATGGGCTGACAGCGGGGGCGGGCCATAATGCTGAGTGACATTCCTCGGGATGCCCTGCTCCGCCCACTCACCCGGAATGAAGTTGTGGGGATGTTGGTGAGGCTGACCGTGTTTGGTGCTGCAACATATTACAGCATCAAATGGGTGGTGGATGCTTTGGACCCGACACAAAAACAAAAATCCCAAGCCAAGAAAAGGGTAAAGAAATCTCTGTTGCTTTATGTGTGCTGTTAAGTGTCACAGAAAACCCAATTCCAGTTAAATAAATAAGGTTCTACAGTGTGCTCATATACTGTACACTCCACTTTGTGTGGACTTGCTATTTGCCCAGAGTAAACTTCAATTGTGTCCCACTCAGTTTTGTGTGGGCCAGCCCACAGTTTATGATATAATGTGTATTTATATAGCGCAATTATCATGTATGGCCATACACCCAAAGTACTTCACAGTCATGAAGGGGGTCTCTCCACACCATCACCAGTGTGCAGCATCCATTTGGATGATGTGACGTCAGCCACAGGACAACGCCACAAGTGAGCTTACCACACACCAGCTATCTGCTTGTTCAGTGGTGATGTGTTTGTGAAGTATGTAATATTGTTTCCAGGTCCAAGCCGCCATTCATTTGAGTGGAGAAAACATTCGTTTATGATTACATTTCATTCCTATCACACATTAAAATTAATTTTATATAAAATCATAGTGTACACAACAATCTCTGGGCTTGCTGCATAACAAATACCAAAAATGTAACAATTTATAAAAAAATTTATCACTTTCTGGCCATCGGATATTAGGCATGGACATATATACTGTGATCGTGATTTTTGAAAGCATTAAATTGCTTTGTTAACGTTTATTATTACCATTTCATGGTTTTCCCCATTCCGTTGAATAGAGCGCTAGGACCCGGAAGCCGCTTCGCGTAACGTCACACTTAACAAGCGGATAGGTGGAGTGGAGAGATAGTGATAGAGCCAATTCAGTGGATGGGAATGATTGGGAGGACCTGATTGTAAAGGCCGATTGAGGGACTTTGGCAACTTTGGCAGTTTTAAAACCTTAACTTTTCCAAACCATGGTATACCTTTGAAAACGTTATTGTCCCATACCTATAAAGAACATATAATATGTAAGAATAAAGTGAAATAATTTGAAGAGATAATAGGGTATATGTGGAAGTATGCTGAAGGACTTTTAATTTGTCAGTAACCTGGTGAACTGTATGCTATTGCAAAATCAACGCGTTTAAGCTCTGTTTTCCTTAACAATCAGCAATCTCCACTGGCTGAGTGATATTCGATATAAAGTGGGTCTCAGATTGTACAAGAAGCACTGCATTAAATAAAATTTTTCCCCGCCATGTCTTTAAAATATGAACATTTATTTTACCCCAATATATTCAATGGAGCCTCTGTGCTACCCTGCCGTTTCTGACGGGCACATGCAAGTAAACAGCTTTTTGTCTCGTTTTACGCTGGAGCAACTAAATGAATGCCAAAGTCTAATTAACTGATTGTATTTTAATTACATTACAACATCAATGCTGTGAAAGGAACCATATAAAATGAAAAAAAGTCACATTAACCATTCACCCAAAGTTTATCAGTATGGGAAGAAACCCTAGCTCCGCATATACCCTATTGAATGATGTGGAATTGGGGTTAATGAGGTGGAAAAAAATAAACTTGCCGCTCCATTTTGAACTGGTTAAAGTCAATTGTTATTTTTAAGTTTACATATAAAGATGTTTTGTTGATTTTGATAAAGTGTATTTGACTAATTAGGAAAAACATACAGTTGAAGTCAGAATTATTAGCCCTCCTGATTAATTTCCCCCCCCCCAATTTCTGTTTAACGGAAATATTTTGTTTAACACATTTTTAAACATAGTAGTTTTAATAACTAATTTCTAATAACTGATTTATTTTATCTTTGCCATGACGACAGTGCATAATATTTTACTAGATATTTTTTAAGATACTAGTATTCAGCTTAAAGTGCCATTTAAAAGCTTAACTAGGTTCTTTAGTCAAGTTAGGGTAATTAATTGTATAACAGTAGTTTGTTCCGTAGACAGTTGAAAATAAATATTGCTTAAGGGGGCTAATAATATTGACCTTAAAATGGTTTAAAAAATACAAATATTTTAAATAAATTATACATTTTAATATATAGCACTTTTATTGTTGCAGAAATAAACAAATAAGATGTTCTCTAGAAGAAAAAATATTATAATAAATACTGTAAAAACTTCCTTGCTCTGTTAAACATTACTTGGGAAATATAAAAAAAAAATAATAATAAAAAAATTCACAGGGGGGCAAATAATTTTGACTTCAACTGTAGGTTATCAAAAAGACTTCTAACCTTTATAGTAATATGAGCTAAGTATTATTTATTGTGAATTTTTATTTAACATGTTTATTGGAATTATTTATCCATTGTCTCTAACTCACCATTTACCATGTTTCTCCAGGCAGAGCAATTGATGAAGCAGATAGGTGTAGAGGGTGTCAGTCTTACGGAGTATGAGATGAACATCGCCACTCTTCTGGTTGATCCTCGCAGCATCAAAGTAAACACAAATACTGTCCGCACTGCATTTAATGCAACCCTTTCATGAAATCACACTCTGCTTCATTACATCGGAGTTCATTACAAAAAATAGACACAGTATTATTTTTCAACCTGATTTAAAGTACATGTGAATTGCACTGACAGATTGCACACCTATGACAGCACAAACCTGCAATTTGTTTTTCTCACAATGGCCCTCCGGTCTTTTCCAAGTCATCAGTGGCCTATATGGTCGAAAATATTCTTCCTTTCCTTGCTAGGTGACCTGGAGAGATGTTGCTGGGCTAGATGAGATCATCTCAGAGATGCAAGACACTGTCATCTTGCCTTTCCAGAAACGTCATCTCTTCAGTGGTTCTAAGCTCTTGCAACCTCCCAAAGGTAAAGAAAATAGAGAATGCATTTTAAAGGACAAAACTTACATTTCGCTTGGCATTTAGAGTTTGTTTTTGATCTTATTTTTTGTAGATATTGTACCAGGCAGTACCAATAGTTATAGAAACTAACAAACACTGGAAGCTGCTGTTAACATTAGCTTTCTGTACATTTATGTCTTGTAAAAAAAAAAAAAAAAAAAAGGCAGTGTTTCCATCCAAGTAGGCAAAGAGAACAAAATCATCACTTCCTGATTAACTGAACTGGCAAATATCAAAATTAAGAACGGAGTTTAATGTGGTTTGAGAAGCTGCGTGAATCTTTTCTTTTTTTTAATAAATGACTTGCGCTTCAGAAGGCAGTATGCTGACATGCAATGAATGCGTGGTGGCATTTGAAGTTGTCAGACGCGGAGCACAGACGCACTTGACAATTCTGTATGTAAATAATAATATGATAACATTAATACTGGCATTTTAGAATGACCAAAACAACATTTCAGATGTTTTACAATGCTCAGCCTGCTGGTTTTGTCCATTAATGAACATTTTTTACCATCACACGATCTCATATAACAAAATCACATGACTTTTTTTAATGTGCATACTGGAATTTGAAAGGTAAAAGTGTTTCCATCATAGTTTATGCGCATCTTTTCTCATCGAATAAAAATGTTATTCTGTGCATTTGCTTTTTTTATCTGCATTTTCAAAATGATGCACATCTTAGCATTTCCATCAACAGTTTTTTATGCACATATCCAAAATGCGCATAAAAATAGGTGGATGGAAACGTAGCTAGTTTACTTCAGTTTCATATGGGTCCTGGAAATCCTTAAAAATCCTTGAATTTTAATGTAATGTTTTCAAGGTTGAAGTATTTGAAACTGATTGCAATTTTAATTGTTGGTTTTATGATAATTTATCTTACTGAATAGGAAATAACAATTCAATACTTAAATAAAATAAAATAAAGAGAGTAAATGACAATAGTTCAGTCTTGAGCTTGGGACAAACACCTTAAAACTTTTCCTTAGTGTACTATACTATACTATACTATACTATACTATACTATAGGGTTGTCATGATACTGGAATTCGGTACCAATGAATACTGAAGTTTGAAAAACGTTCCCGCTAACATTTTAGCGCTGTTGAGCACATTCTTAAACAGCGCTGATTTGCCGTTGTGTTAATGTACTCATCGGAAGTGACTGTGATTGGCTGTGAAGATCAGCGCAGTTTACTGAGTGTAAACACAGATACAGGGACACTGGAGAGTTTAAAAGCTGTAAAGATCAGTTGATACATCAATTTCAGTATTGATTGGTAGCGAATTCCAGCAATGTTACAACACTACTATAGAATACTGTTACAATTATTGTTGTATATCATGTATGCATTGAAGTAAATGTAATTGTCCACTTTTGTAAAGTGCTGGTAAAAGTTTGTAAATGTACATGAAAAGTGCTTGAGTTAGGGTTGTTTTGATGCCATAACTAGTATCGGAAATATTTTCCATTATCACAAAAATTCTGGCATCGGCATTGGTGAATATTTGAAACCATAAACCGATCTGATACCATATTTTTAAATGAGACATACTGTATGATCATTAACTTTGCTTAACACTCCAAACCAGTCAGCTCTTTGCTGCTCAGAATGCAAAAACAAGAAGTTATGCTTTGTTGCCACAATAACCACTGTTAGAGCAGCGAAGAAGAGGCTAACACACTATTTTACTTGTTTTTTTTTTTAAATGTGTCTAAATTTTAAGTTTACAAAAAGGTTATTTTTTAATGTCTTTATTCTTTTCACTGATTTTACACAGTTACTGTAAAACTTGAATAATTTTAAGTTACAGTTTTTGATTTCTAGCTGAACTTTTTTCAGTAAAGTACAGTAAATAAAATTACTCTTGAATGCCTGATAATAAAATGTCAGTTAATAAAAATACTTTAGTTCACTGTCTGTATATGTTCATGTTTTATTAAAGATAAGTCTGAAGTAGACAGTAGCAGTATTAATATTAGTATTATTAGTAGTATTGTTATACACAACCGTTTCTACAGATACACAATCGGGTATTGGTTCAGTAACCGGTATGGGGAATGGAAAAAGGGTATCGGAACATCCCTAGCTTGATTAGTGCAATCATTTTGACCAAGAACTTTGCTACTTGCGTTACTGGTAGTTCCTATTGTGCTGGGTTAGATCTCCCAAAAGGAAGTTCTCCCAAAAGAAGTTCCTATAACATAAAGCATTTCCAGTTCCTGCAGTATGAACGTGCCAAAAACATTTTACCAGCTGTTGTAGAAACTGTGAAAATGTTCTGTCATGAAACTCTAGAAGCCAAAGACTAACAGACGGTTGTTTTTAATTCAGTATGTTTGCAATTATACTTAAAGGAATGTACAATTAAACCCAAGGACCCGGTATGATGAACAAATATCAGAGATACAATTAATTAAAGAAATATTTACTGAAGAAAATAGTTTGCACTTTCATCAGCAGATGCCAACTTCAACACTCACACAGAGTTCGTAAGCCGCTCTGTGTACAAAACAACAATTATTCTACAACAGAAGGTCACTGACTACGTCACACATCTAAGTAGAAAGAATTCTCATTGGCTAAAACACAGATAAATGTAGACAATCTCCACACTCAGATGCAAGAACTGAAGCATATCTTCTAAATGATGAATTAGGCGAAAACAAACAAGGGTCAGGTGACATTTTTGCGGTCAGCTTGACCACTGAGGTGAGATTCAGCTTTAGTCTTCTAGTCTCCCACAGAGGAAAAACACGCACACAGAAATACACAAAGAATGCTTATCTACTTCAAAGACGTTTAGTTTTAACAAGCATGCTATCAGTACAGCACATTACACACACTATGGGAGTAGGATCTCACAGAGTACAATGAAATGTAAATTACAACAGAATAAATAGTAAGAGATGCAGGTCACTCATAGCAGTCCACATGAGAAGCAATGACCTCTTGACCTGGCTTGGTAACCCTGAGGAAAACAAAGAACTTGGCATACAGAAAGAGCAGTGACATGCATATCATTGCCATTTTTCTCTAAAGAGATATGACTCCAAGGAAAAAAAATGTAATAATAATATTAATAATAATAATAATAATAATAGTACTAATAAAAATAAGTCTGGACACTTAATCACAAATTCACAGAAAGGATACAGTGTTCAGCATAAATAAGTACACCCCCTTAAAAAATGACTGCTTTTTATCCATTTCTCAGTGAATATTAAACAGTCATATTAACTAAAATAAAAGTTTGGCTACCAGACATCTTTAGCAATATAAATATACTACATTTAAAATCAAATGACTTAACTAGCAAACTACAAACAACTTTCTCTTTCCCCTTGTTTATCCTGTTTAAGTTTTTTGTTATATTAGATCCAGTTTTGGCTTTGGTACTCACTAATGTGATGTACATGCACAAATATATTATTGTAAAACATACTGTATAGAAATATGAATTTAAAAGAGAGATCTCTGAGGGGTGTGCTTATTTTTGCTTGACACTGTATATGCAAATTGGAGAAGCCATCGATCAAGATACCTTTCCTGTACATATAATTTTGAAATGGAAGCTTATTGATCTCTGCTCATTCAACTACAAAGATCGCTTGCTCAACTTTTAAACAGTGTGGTTCAGAGGGATGCATTCATGACATCTTGTTTATGACATCTGTGTCAAAATAATATTAATTCATCAAAAAACTTTCAAACCAATATTTATTTTAATCATGATCAGGGATGTGATTCTTCAAAAAAAAAAAAAAAAAACAGATTTCTGTATTTTCTGTGCTCACTGGTGCAACCCCTGTAATTTGCAAAGTAATTTGTTACTCAAAGTCCCAACACTGAGGTATAAAGTAGGCTATAAACCTATTAAATAATTACTCGGGTAACTATTAAACTGTTAAAGACTTCAACTGATAAAATAAAAACAAATAAGCTTACTTGTGTGGCCAATATCAAACCTTTACTAGAAAATTATTTATTATTATTTTTAGAATTATTATTTCTATTATTATTTATTATTTAAAAAACACACACATATATATATATATATATATATATATATATATATATATATATATATATATATATATATATATATATATATATATATATATATATATATATATATAGTTAGAGTTATTAGCCCCTCATTTATTTTTATTTTTTTTTTATAAATATTTTCCAAATGATGTTTAACAGAGCAAAGACATTTTCACAGTATGTCTGATAATATTTTTTTTTTCTTCTGGAGAAAGACTTGTTTGTTTTAGTTTGGCCAGAATAAAAGCAGTTATTAATTTTTAAAACCATTTTAATGTCAAATTATAAGCCCCTTTAAGCTATATATTTTAGATAGTCTACAGAACAAACCATCATCATACAATAACTTGCCTAATTACCCTAACCTGCCTAGTTAACCTAATTAACCTAGTCAAGCCTTTAAATGTCACTTTAAGCTGTATAGAAGTGTCTTGAAAAATTTTTAGTAAAATATTATTTACTGTCATCATGGCAAAGATAAAATAAATCAGTTTAAAGAAATGAGTTATAAAAACTATTATGTTTAGAAATGTTTTGAAAAAAAATCTTCTCTTTATTAAACAGAAATTGGGGGAAACATTAACAGGGGGGCTAATAATTCTGACTTCAACTGTATTTGTTTATTTATATATACAGTTGAAGTCAGAATTATTAGCCCCGTTTTTATTTTTTTCTTCTTTTTTAAATATTTCCCAAATGAAGTTTGACAGAGCAAGGAAATTTTCACAGTGTGTCTGATAATATTTTTTCTTCTAGAAAAAGTCTTATTTGTTTTATTTTGGCTAGAATAAAAGCAGTTTTGAATTTTTTAAAAAGTATTTTTGGGACAAAATTATTAGCCCCTTTAAGCTAGTTTTTTTTCCGAGAGTCTACAGAACAAACCATCGTTATACAATAACTTGGCTAATTACCCTAACCTGCCTAGTTCACCTTAATAACCTAGTTAAGCCTTTAAATGTCACTTTAAGCTGTATAGAAGTGTCTTAAAAATATCAAGTAAAATATTATTTACTGTCATCATGACAAAGATAAAATAAATCAGTTATTAGAAATAGGTTTTTAAAACTATTATGCTTAGAAATGTGCTGAAACAATCTGCCCTCCATTAAACAGAAATTGGGGAAAAAAATAAACAGCAGCGCTAATAATTCAGGGGGGCTAATAATTCTGACTTCAACTGTATATATTTTTTTGTATTTATACACAAAAAAAATAAAAAGCTGCATTATAAAATTATAAATTTATAAAAGCTGCATTATAGCTTGAACTGCAAGCTTTCTCTTAATAATGCATGTAAAGCTAGATATAGTGTTTATTGTGTTTGAATTGGTTTTGAAAATGGCATTTCTTGAGGGTCTGGTGAGAGCATGTTTGTACAGAGGGGTACATGTTTCATGAAAACAATGAAACTCTGTAAAGAAACACATTTACACATTTATATCTACCTATTTATGTAGCAGCAGGATGTCTATAACCTTTTGTACCTCAAAACAGTTTCAAGTCCAGGAAACTTGGATCAAAAAAGTCTTCAAATTTGTCCTAAGGCAACTTTGATGAAAGGTTTTGATTCACTTCAAATGTTGACTACTGTAAATAAATACAACGGGGGGAAATAAGTATTTTTAATACTTTCAACACAATTTTATTCGGAAAACCTGCTGTTGACTTGAAAATCTGTACCGGATGTTGGTAACAACCTAAGAAATCTATATATGCAAAGACAACAAAACTAATTGGTTTACAAATTAAGTTATGTCTAATAAGATGAAATGGCAGAGGGAAAATTATTGAACACTTGAAGAAAGGGAGGTGTAGAAAGGCTTTGAAAGGCCAGATAGCGACTAAAAAGTATTATTTGAAGTGAATCAAAACCTTTCATCATCATCTCTATTATTATTATTATAATTATTATTTTATATAAATATTTTTTTACATTTTTGATTCCCAGGTGTACTATTGTATGGACCCCCAGGATGTGGAAAGACATTAATTGCCAAAGCAACAGCAAAAGCATCTGGATGCCGCTTTATTAATCTACAGGCCTCCACTTTGACTGACAAGTGGTACGGCGAATCGCAGAAGTTGACCGCTGCTGTTTTCTCATTGGCTGTCAAGATTCAGCCATGCATCATTTTCCTTGATGAAATAGGTAACTACTGAATATGCTCTAAAAGAGTGTGAAAGATGCTTAGAGATGCCAGACAGATAGGAAAGATATTACAATGCCAGCTTGTTTAACATGCTGAATAATTTCGCTCTGCACCACTACAGAAATGAACTTCTCTGTAATCACTATGGGTTATGCAGGTGTTTTATATTCATGGGTTTTATGGAAAATGTGGTACATGTGTATTTGCATAATGATGGCAGTGTTTTCTAAGCACTGTATTTTCAATGCTGATGGCATTTGAATAATACTGTACTGTGACCCATCATCTGTGAAACAGAAGAATGCGGACGCTGCACAGAGTCTCTCAGGCATTTTATCATACGGTGCAAGCTGAAACCGCAGTAAAAGTTCATTATTATTTTAATTAGCTAAGTTTCTTTTCAAGCTGCTACCACAGATTATGCATTTATTTATTTATTTATTGATTGGTGTTTTCTGGCATTAATGTGATTTGACAGCAGTTAGACAGGAAGTGAAGTTGGACCGAAAGAGGGATTAGGAAAGTCCGCAAGTCAAGATTCGACCTCAGGATACTAAATGTCAGTGCATTACTCAAAAGGCTATTGAGGCTGACCGTTGCCACAGATTAAATTACAAACGCTAAAATAGATAAAGTACAAAAAGTGTGGAAAGAATTATATATTACTTTATGTAACTGTATTAAGTATTAATATTATTTTAAAATATGTGATTGAAATATTTTATATCCAGTATAATCGATAGATAATTGATAATAAATAGACAGTCAAACACAGACAGATACAGTAGATAGATAGAAAGACTGAGGCAGACAAACAGACATTTCTTCAGATTTTTGGATTGATTTCACAATATGCATTTATGAATAATAAATCGATCAAATCTTTCTCTTTCTTCAGATTCATTCCTGAGAAATCGTTCCAGTATGGACCATGAAGCCACTGCTATGATGAAGGCCCAGTTCATGAGTCTGTGGGATGGACTTGACACAGGAGAAAACAGCCAGGTAACACATGCACATACAGTATACAGTTAAATTGAGAATCATTAGCCCTCCTGATGTATTAGCCCCCCTGTATATTTTTTATCCACAATTTCTGTTTAACGGAAAGAAGATATTTTCCAACATATTTCTAAGCAATATAATTAAAAAACTAATTTCTAATAACGTATTTCTCTTACCTGGCCATGATGACAGCACATAATATTTTACTAGATTTTTTTTTTTTTTTTTAAGATACTAGTATTCAGCTTAAAGTTCAATTTAAAGGCTTAACTAGGTTAATTGGGCAAATCATTGCATAACAGCAGTTTGTTTTGTAGACAATGAAAAAATATTGCTTAAAGGGGCTTATAAATTTTATTTTAAAATAGTTTTATAAATATTAAAAACTGATTTTATTCTTGCCAAAATAAAACAAATAAGACTTTCTCCAGAAGACAAAATATTGTTGGAAATATTCATTCATTCATTCATTTTTTTGTCGGCTTAGTCCCTTTATTAATCCAGGGTCGCCACAGCGGAATGAACCGCCAACTTATCCAGCACGTTTTTACGCAGCGGATGCCTTTCCAGCCGCAACCCATCTCTTGGAAACATCCACACACACACGCACACTTACACACTACGGACAATTTAGCCCACCCCATTCAACTGTACCGCATGTCTTTGGACTGTGGGGGAAACCGGAGCACCCGGAGGAAACCCACGCAAACGCAGGGAGAACATGCAAACTCCTTACAGAAACGCCAACTGAGCCGAGGTTCGAACCAGCGACCCAGCAACCTTCTTGCTGTGAGGCGACAGCACTACTTACTGCGCCACTGCGTTGCTCATTATTGGAAATACTGTAGAAAAATTTGTAAAACATCATTTGGGAGATGTTTGAAAAAAAAAAAATTACAGGAGGGTTAATAATTTTGTATTCAACTGTACAGTAGGTTTCAGAGAGCATCGTACCGTGTCTTGAATTTACTATGTGAAAGAAATCGAAAGTGTAATGAAATGTCAATGTGCAGGTAATGGTGATGGGAGCCACTAACAGACCACAGGATGTGGATGCCGCAATACTGCGCAGAATGCCTACTGCCTTTCATGTAGGCCTGCCTGTGAGTCTGCAGAATTTACACACGTTTTGCACACTGTTTTTGTTAATTGCATGTCTTTATGAAGGTAAGATGTTGTCTTTGGTCCATTTTCAGAATGCAGCTCAAAGAGAAGAAATCCTTAGACTCATCCTGTCTGGTGAAAATGTAAGGCATTAATCGCTTCTTTATCTGAACTGCAGTTCATTCACAAAAAAAATAGTCTGTTTAAATGTACTGCTTATATCCGCTTGTTATGTCATGATGTATAGAATACTGTTTCTGGACCACTACTCGTTTCAATTGAGGAAATATTCGTTTATGACTACTTTTTAGTAATATCATACATTAAAGTGAATTTTATATAAAATCATGGTGTACACAACAGTCTCTGACTTTATCTGCATCTCAGACACCAATATTTAAACAAATTATGAAAAATGTATCACTTTTTGGCCATCTAATATTAGGCATGGATATATTGTGATCCTGATTTTCAAAAGTGATGCATCGCTTTGTAAACGTTTATTACCATTTGTTGAGTCTCCTCATACAGTTTGATATACCGCTTGGACCCAAACGCTGCTTCACGTGATGCACACTTAACAAGCGGATTAACGGTTAAATAACAGAAATTAATACGTTTTTGCTATCATTCCTAAATTATACATTTGTTTTAAAAGGTTATACAACATAAAGGTTCTAAAAGTGCTGGAGTCATAACTATTTTAAAAAGTAATCACTTATGCTTAAGCATGCGTGCATTTCATCTCAAAGTATATGCCAAAATACCTGTAATAATGTGAAATATGCAATGTATCACATGATCATACAAATATGCTATATATTACTTAAAAGATTTTATATGAACTTTGAAAACAGTCATATTTATCATCATTTTATGAGGATCATTTAATAAATATAAAGTATATAAGAGCATAGAAAATATTTTTATTACTAGCAATAAAAATAGGATGTTTAGTTTTTATGAAGACTGTAAATAAATATGTACCTTCAAAATGATAAAATAAAATAAATACATGAATAGATATTTGAAATCAACATTGAATATATATATATATATATATATATATATATATATATATATATATATATATATATATATATATATATATATATATATATATATATATATATTGATTATTGAAAATTTAATGGTCCTCGTTTAATAGAAACCATGGGGACAAACTTAGAAAATTAGTATTTGCATAAATTACTTCATTTTACTTTGTTTTTTTTATTTTTTTTATATTTTTTTATCAGCTAAGTAATGCAATTAACCTGAAGGAAATCGCGAGTCAAAGCGAGGGCTACTCCGGCAGTGATCTGAAAGAGCTGTGCAGGGACGCCGCCATGTACCGTGTCAGAGACTACGTCCGCAAACAGCAGATGAAACAGATCGCACAACAGTTCCAACTGGACGAAGAGGAAGAGTATGTCTAATATATTTTATATAACATGCACATACACACAATTAACGCTTGATCTCCCTTGAAAGACATGAAAACAAAATGTATGGGGGGTCAGCCCTTTAAAAAGGAGAAATAGTTCGCTCTGATCTGTATTTTAAATAATAATATTAATAATTAAATAATAGATAATGTAAATATACATTTGAACATCCCTATTTGGTTCATACCATTGTGAATGCATAATCGCACCAATCAGTCTATGTGAAAAAAAAAAATTCATTCAACAGTTTGAAACTACAGGTCTAAAGCACCAATGGACACCGTGAGTGTTCACAAGAGTGTTTTCTTGTCAAATAGGTGTTTGTAAAATAATTTGAACACTGCATGCATCCATATTGTCACTGAAGTACTGGGATAACTATTAATAGTTGTGATATACATGTACAGTAGATTGACCCATAAGTAAAGCCAGACGGAATCTGCGGACATTTTTTGCTATTTATGCGCAGATTTGTGTTAAAAATCTGTGGATTTAGCGGAATTATTTTAGGAGTATGATAACTAAAACCTTAATATATGAAATAAAAAGTAATACCTCTTTAACTTTTATTTAATGTTTTCAATGCAAATCCAGTTATCTACTTTATTTGGTAAACAAAGCAAGTCTTTTATATAATATCTCTACTAAAAGACAGAAAATATGACTTTACAAACTGTATTGTACATAAATCATGTATATTTTTATATTGGTCAATAATATTACTGGAATAATTTAAAAACTGAATAAATATAAGTTTACACACATTTACACAAGTAAATAAACAGAATCAATGATGGGCTAAAATCTGCAGAATTCTGCACGCACAGAATCTGTGTGCACCTACCTATTAGTGACAACACACATTGAATGTGAAGTTTTTATATGTTAGCGCTTGACTCATCTATTAAATGTGATATTTAAAAAAATTATGTATGTGTATAACTGTGGACCAGTCATAACCAGTACAGCAGTCTGAAAGCTTAACATTGAGGTATAGGGTTTTACGACAGGACAATATTTGGCCAAGACAAAACTATTTGATAATATGGAATCTGAGAGTTAAAAACTTTCTAAAAAATGTCCTTTTAAGCGATTTATATGGTTTTCAGCAACACATTTTTCTAATTCATTGTTGATATACTGTATGTACAATTTACTAAATGTCTTGGAAGATGGAAGATTACATTTCATTATTATTTATTATTACTTAAATTTTACTCATACAATGTATTTTTGGCTATCCCCTCAAATATATTGTAAAATTATATTGCAAAATATTATTCGGAACCTCTAGTAAACAAGTTTTGTGTCTATGTAGAATCATCAGAAAATCGTGATCTCTGTTTTAAACAAATAAAATCCTCAAAAATGTGATTCTCAGTTTAGTAGTGCAGCTCTACTGTGTAAATATAGGAGTTAATATATTATACGCTTAAATCCAGTGAGCCTCATGTCCCTGAATTTGTCACCGTGTCCTCTGGTTTGTCCTCAGGCATGTGGACAGCAGGCAGCTCAGGCCCGTGACTCAACTGGACCTGCTGTTTGGCCTAGATAAGATGAGAGAGTCCAAACAGGCCACAGCTACAACTGACCCAGCAAATCTGAGAGAGGTGCCTCTGGACTGAAAAAACTCTCGCTTTACACATTCACAAATTCTCTCTCACACCTCTTTTTTCCCACCTCATCTTTTTTTACTCCTTTTTAAATTATTTTTTCTGCCTTTTTTACATTTCTGTTACATCTCAAACATTCATTTTTCCACTGTAATGAATGAAATAAGATATTCAAGAAAGTGACTGTGCATATTTATAGTAAAACAATACTAAATTGGGATTCATTATTCTTGAGTATTTTAGTTTGATTAAATTATTTATGAGAGCATCTGTTTTGTATAGGGGTGTCCAAACATGCGCTTAGCTTCAAGGAAAGTGTGTTGGAGCTCAACTTTACAGCACAGTGCTTGTCCAGGAGCAAGTTTGGATGCCTTTGCTGTAGAAACTGGACCACATTTTTTAATAAGAGAGATTGGAGATGATTTGCTGTGTCTAGAGTTCAGATTTTCTGAAACACTAAGTAAAATCTAACTGTCGTATTAGGATGCATGAGTGTTAAAGTGAATGGTGCATGCGTGATCTTCGTTAACAGCAATTTAGCAGTGATGAGATGACGGTGTGAATTTGTGTCAGGAGCATGCCATGAGTCATATTTCAACCTCCAATTTAAAACAAACACAAAAAAATGTCACTAGAATGTGTTCTGCTTTTATTTTTCTAAAGTAAAAAATAATAATATATGTTCTACACTCATGCCATAATTTACAGAAGACGCACACTAAAATAACAGTATAATAATAGATACCACTATATCTCCAAACCACTAGGTTTTACTTATTATTCCATCATCAATATATAATACAGAATTTCACCCATATTTTTATTTCTATATAAAAAAAAATCACCTGCATTTTTGTTTAATAACAAAAAAAAATTTTTTTAGAGACTTAAATTAAATTAAATGTGCTTCCTATGTATATAGAATCATTATTGTATGTTTTATTTGATGGGAACACCCACATTGAATGATCATCTTTTGACATGTGTATACAAAAACAATATACAAATTGTTATTACTGTATTGTAATAATTGTGTCAAACCAGAGAGAATGAGAAAAATCTGTTACACTTTGGGCCCAATCATACACCCGGTGCAAGGCATGACACAATTGTTGTTTGCTAGTTTCAGCTTTGCACAAGAGTCATTTTGATGTTTTGCACCACGCTGTTTAAATAGCAAATGCATTTGCGCTCATGTGCGCCCATAGGCTTTCTGGTCTAAAAAAGGAGGCGTGTTGAGGTGCATTGCTGGCGTGTTGCTATTTTGAGGAACTATAATAGAATGCAAAATTGACCAGATCAAAGTCAGTCTATAGTCCAGCGCAGAGCGTGATAGTTGTGTGCCTCGCTTACACACTGCTTAATGCACACAGTATGTACAGCAATACACACATATCTTTACGTATGAAAAATAATTAAAGGATCAAAGTATTACAAAAATTATTATTATCTAGCCTGCATAAATATAAAAACCATACTTTCATGGCTTCTTCATCTCGGAAGGCTTTTTTAGTTTATTCATAACAATTTGCTTTTGTATAATGTTATTATTATTAGCAGTGTTATTTATTATATAGTATTTATATTTGTTTCATTTAAAACAAGCTTAGATTTGCCAACCTGTCAGGTTTTAGACCATATGGGGCACAGCATGTGTATTTAGAAATAACGTTATTATTGTTTAGTCATTCGTTTGCTGGAAATTAAAGCTGATTTTAGAGAAAGTTTTGAAACAAATCTTTGTTCTTAACAAACTAAATTAATTATGTATAGGCTAATGGATGTCTGTGCGTACAAGAAGTTTCCCTATCCACGAGAGTGAAAGTAAAAGAAAAGAACAAGGAGGCTCATCTCTCATTCTCGCCTGTAGATGCTCTGTTTAACTGTTTTCTCTTTAGTGAAGTGCTCAGTTTTTCCACTTGCAAAGTCTGTCATGTAAATAACAAATGCGCTATGGCGTGACACAACTGACTCTTAAAGGGAAGGGGAGATGAGGCTCTGATTGGTTTATTCTCAGAACACCCCTATAACTCATTAAGAGAATAAGCTCAACCCTGTTAGACCATGCACCACGACGCAAGGCAGATTTTTCCGTCCTTAAAATAGCAAAAGTGGATTCTGACACACCCTTAATGCATTTGCACCCTGCGGTTTCGACTTTGCGCATGGATCATCAAAATAAAGCCCTTTAATTCACAATGTTTTTCCAACATTTTAAATGCACTTACTGCTTAAAACAATAATGACTTGCTCTAACCAAAAACCAAACCTATTACTTACCCTATACCACATTTTGTTTAATAAAATCATCACATTTTGCTTAACACTTATTTATCAATGCATGTAATAATGTTGTTACAAGGACACCTTCAAATAATGTGTATACCGTACATTTCCATTTGTAATTCTTTTGAATTTGGGTTGTAATATTTCTTATTGATACATTAATAATTTGTTTTGGTGAACAAATAATTTATTTTTGCCATGCTGATTTATGCGAAATCATGAATATAGGTCTATATAATTGCCTTGCAATTTTGACATTATTGCTTTTTTACTTTGAGTAGATTATTCTAAGATCAGTTCAAACTTTTATGTCGTTTTTAAAATAAAATTAGTTGATCACTCTACAAAAATATAACATTTTTAAATACTTATATTTATTGGCTAATATATCGGTTATCAGCCTCCAAATCTAAAGATTTATTGGTATCGGCTCTAAAATCCTTATTGGTGCTGTCCTAGAAAGATGTTTAACGTCTATTTACCTACATCAGTGTGTTTTGAAAGGTTTCGCTTGGAACTTTGCTAATAGCTAATAATAACACATCATAGTATCAAACCAGCATTAGTGATCACATTTTTTTAGCTACTAAAATGGCATGCCAGTCTCATTGGAAATGCATGCGTCAGGCTACATTTTTGCGAAATGTAAAATACATTCCTCCGGTTATGTTTCGGATGATAACATAATGATACATTTTTGTGAATCTGAAATTAGGATGCATTTTGTTATGTTTCAGATACACATCCTTCTTGTATACATCACCTAGCAAACCACTTACCTAAACCCTTCCCTAATAGTGTTTTCAAAAGCAAACAGACATTTTAACAGCATAGTTTTACCTTGATTTTACATTGCTTTACCTCTCTTGTGGAACCATACAAAGTGAGCAACTGAGAAAACTGACCATTCCAGAAATGTTTTAATATTTATTTTATGGATCATAATTCACTGTTTAATGCATGTTTAAGTGTGGCTAAACATAAGTTTAAGCAGGTTTTTCAGTTTCACAGCAATATACAATAAAGCATATATTTCCAATGAGCCTGTGTTGTGTTGCAAAATAGGCTTCTTTTTCAAAACTACCAAATTACTCCATTCTTACTAATGTTTCTGGCTTTTCACCAGCTCTAAATGCAAAATATTTGCTGTTGCCAAACCGTTCCACAGACTTAAATAAGTGTTTTTCTATTTGCACAATATTTGTTAGAAGCCTGGCATATGTCTCCATGTATTATTTTGATGATGTGTGTGAGAAAAAAAATGTTTGGATGCGTAATTAACCATTCATCAAGCATTAGCTACTGAAATGGTAAATAAATGTATTCAGATTCAAGCCATGTGCATTTCCAGTGATTTGTCAATATGACACATGTAACATGTAAATGAAACAAATGTGATTGTTTGGCATGCTGCGCCATATTTGGCTTCCTTTAGCGCTTTGGCACCAGATGACACCTTTAATTCAGCTCTGCTCCGCTTTGAATGTTTGTTGTTCTGGTTTGCTAATCAGGCGCTTGGTTGTTTTATAATGAGCAACCTGAACAGAGTGAAGGAAATCAGCTCAAAATCTTCTGCCTGCTGTTTGCTGTTACAATTACCTTCAGTTAATGCATAAAGTTTTGTTCTTATCAGGATAGTTCACCCCAACATGAACATTCAGTTATTTACTCATCCTGACAGTAGCCATTTACTTCCATAGCATTTCCCTTTACTATGGAAGTCAATGGCTAAAATTGGCTAAAGGGATAGTTCACTCAAACATGAAAATGTACTCACTATTTACTTGCTCTCAAGTTGTTCCAAACCTTTATGAATATCCTTTTTTTCTTCTGAACACATAATAAGATGTTTTGAAAAATGTTAGAAATCTGTAACCAGTAGCTGTGTCTCATTTCAGAGGCTGCGTCCCCTGAAGGATTCATTCAAAGAGCTGTGTCATTTTAAATAAATTCAAAGCCTTCTTCAAATGCATCCTTAAAATGTGTCCTTCGCATTTAAGTGTAAAAAATGGTTAAAAATGTATTTATTACTTATTGTATGTAGTTTCAAATGAAATTATTACTCCAGTCATTCATTCATTCATTCATTCATTTTCTTTTCGGTTTAGTCTCTTTAATAATCTGGGGTCGCCACAACGAAATGAACCAGCAATTTAACCTGCACATGTTTTACGCAGCGGATACCTTCCAGCCGCAACACATCACTGGGTTCACTACTTTTGAACAGTTTTTTTTTATAGTGCAGTCACATTTTACAATTTTACAATTTGTACTGTATTTGTGATGAAACAATGCAGCTTATTTTAAAACATTTAGAAATCATACAGACCCCAAACTTTTGACCAGTAGAAGTTTTAAAATCACTTTTAAAAAAAAGTCATAAAAAATCATTAAAAATTTTATTACCGCTTATTAATGGCAGATGTTACAATTTCTAGGTGACAAGATCTGTTCTCTGTAGGTTAGATTGTTTAATTTCTAAACCCTCGGTTCAGCGTATGTGGACTTTGAAGGACTAACTCAAATTATTCAAATTCATATTTTAATAGGAAGCTATACAATATTATATTTGTGCATATACATTAGATTAGATTAGGCAGTACTGAAGCCAAATCTGGAGCTTATCTAACAAAATAAATAAAAATAACAGTTTAAAAACTAGTACAACCAAATTTGTTATAGAAAAATATTAAATGAAAATTTTAAAAAGAGGAAAATTGGAATTGTAATTTATTTGCAATGTTTTGCTTGAATTTAATTATATTATGTTTCAATTTCTTGAGATGTTTGGTAACTAAAATTTTAATTTAATAAATAAATCTGTTTAATAAATCTGTTTTGTTTAAATGCACCAAAAAGCATTGCCTATAATCACTGAGAAATGGATAAAAATATTGATTTTCAAAATGGGGTCTTCTCAAATATGCTGAGCAC